GTTCTCTGAGTTCCCCAGTGCTGGGTGGCATTAAGCTCCTGCAGATCCCGGTATTCCAGTTCTGTTGCTTTTTTGGTTCCACCAAGACCTTTCCCTGATGCTGACAGTTTTCAGTAGTTGCAAAAGGAAGTCTCTCCATCAGCTTTGTGACTATGAGTTTAACCTGTTCAACCTATAGCATAAGACAGTGGCCCTCAAAGCCTGGGATTTCAGAGGCTAGGACCTGAAATGTGCCCAAAGCCCAAGTCTCCATGTCTGAATTTATACCACCAGTTACCATGATTACAAGGATTCCTGCTTCCCTCCCTATCCCTTTCCCTGCTAGTGTCTGGCTGAATAGGGCATCTCTTCAGGACCAAAATGCCCTGACATCTCGCTCCCTTCCTCTCCCTTCATTTTTATCACTGAAGGATGTGGAGGGAGCCCTTAGCAGCTTGAGATTCACAAGGTAAAAATGTAGTCCTGTCTGTGTAAGACGGTGACAAATGAGACTTTCAGCATACGGCTTCACTGACCTGTCCACAGAAACTCTGGCAGGCAAGAGAGCATGGAGCAGGTCTAGGACCAAGCATACCTTATCAGTTGCCTTCTTATACACAACATTCTGAATGTCTATTAAGAGTGAGTGGAGGTGGGGCATGGTGGCTCACACTTGTAATCTCAGCACTTTGGGAGGCCAAGGCAGTCAGATCACTTGAGATCAGGTGTTCGAGACTAGCCTGGTCAATATGGTGAAAACCTGTCTCTACTAAAAATACCAAAAAAAAAAAAAAAAAATTAGCCAAGCATGATGGTTGATGGCATGCACCTGTAATCCCAGCTAGTTGGGAGGCTGAAGCAAGAGAATCACTTGAACCCAGGAGGCGGAGCTTGCAGTGAGATGAGATGGTGCCACTGCACTTCAGCCTGGGTGACAGAGTGAGACTCCATCTAAAACAAAAAAAAAAAATGTGTGTAAGTGTGGAAGGGAATGCTGAGCTCCAGGTGAGAATGCAGGCCTGTTGACAACTTGATTTTAAGACTCTGAGCAGAGAACCCAGTGTTCAGACACTGTGTCCAGACCTCTAACCTACAGAAACTGTGAGATTACAAGAGGGTGCTGTTTTATGCCATAAAGGTCATGGGAATTTGTTACACAGCCATAGAAAACTGATACACTCACCTTGGCACTTGATCACACCACACCAGTTTTAAGGTAGGGCTGGCTGTAGGTCTGTTTCTGTGCAGCGTGGTTGTCCTTGGCCTTTTCCCTCCAATACTTCTCATGTGTCTCTCCATTTTGAGTTGTCTTTCTACCAATACACTCTCAGGTCTTGGCTCATTATCCTGCTTTGAAACAACTGTGAAATCCTCAGCTCACCCAGCCTCCTATCTGCTGGGACCTGCTAAGTTCTCTGTTTGATAGCCAATGTGTTTGGCTGGGTCACCACCCAAATCTCATCTTGAATTGTGGCTCCCATAATTCCCACGTATTATGAGAGGGACCCAGTGGGGGATAATTGAATCATGGGGGCGGTTCCCTCATACTGTTCTCATGGTAGTGAATAATTCTCACGAGATCTGACAGTTTTATAAAAGGAAACTCCTTTCGCTTGGTTTTCATTTTTTCTCATCTGCCACCAGGTAAGACATGCCCTTCGCCTTCTGCTATGATTGTGAGGCCTCCCCAGCCACGTGGAGCTATGAGTCCATTAGCCTCTTTTGCTTTATAAATTCCCAGTCTCAGGTATGTCTTTATTAGCAGCATGAGAACAGACAACACAACAGGCCAGCATCTGCACGCAGCGCAGCACAGCTTTGTTTCTCTCCGCTCGTCTCCATCGGCACCACGCTCCCAAGAAGAGCTCTTATGGATTGCCCAAGTCTGGAGATTGCAAAGTTCTCTCAGCAATACCCCTTAAGAATTTCAGGGGGCTAGCATGCCTTGGAGTTCCACACAGAATACAATCTTTGGTAGAAATAGGAGCTGGGATTTCTCAAAGTGAGATATGTGAATGACTGACACGAATCATGGGGACAGTGAAGTTATTTGATGAACCAGTGGACTCTGCATATTGAGGTTTTACTGTATTTGATTTAAATTGCAGAAAGTTTCTCCACGGCCCACACAAGTCTGTGATTAGTAGTTTCTAAATGAAAGAATGTGTGAATGAAGGAACCAAACACTTGACTCAGTCAGTGATAGAACTATGGGCCAGTAAGAATGGTACCTAATAAATATCAGCATCCATGGGTGAATTTCACCTCTTGATGAAATTCACCTGTTTAAATACACTTGTCAAAAATAATAGTTACTCCTTTCGCCTAGTTATTTAAATAAAATGACTTTTTAAAATAACATTTAATTGAGAGGGAGGACACTCTAGCTTCTCTCTGCATATGCTCATAGGGAGAATAGCTAGCCAGTCCACAGAAGTGTAACTACACCCCTAGAGGCAACAGACACAGACATGGAGGAGGGGAGGAGGGTAAAGCACCCTACAGAAAGTAATTGGCCAGCTGAATACTGTCCCTGCAAAATTCCAATCCAAAAAGTGATAACAAGCAACTCAAAATTTATTTATAAATATTTTATCATTCTCAAAAACTTGAAACAATCTAAATATTCATCAATACAGTTTCCATTAGATAATTTAGCTACACTTGAAGTAGTACACAGTCATTAAAAATAATAAGGATCTATATTTATTGGCACAAAAGGATTTCGTGACATATTGTTAAGTAAAAGGAAAGCAAATTTGAGAATATTATTTATAGAATAAGCATAAGGGAAAAAAAAAAGACTAGATGGCTATGTAACAGAAATGCTAACTGTGGACGTCTCTGGAGAGGGGACCTTGTAGGTGGGGTGACCATACATCCTCGTTTGCCAGGTACAGTCTAATTTTTGGAACACTGGTTCATTCTGGAAAGTGTTCCTGGTTGTGTGACAAATTATATGGTCACCTTAGCTATTGGTCGTTTTACTTTATTCTTGTATTTTTACATGTTAGCCTGATTTCTTTTTAATAATCAATTCGGTTGGTGCAAAAGTAATTGCGGTTTTTGCCATTACTTTCGATCTGCTGTCTGATGTTCTACTGCTGAGCTCCATCCCCGCCTTTTGCCATTACTTTAAGCAGGTATTTTCATTTCTGAGGGGGAAAGCACTTTATACTTTTTAAATGGACTGTCTTCCAGGTTAATCCAAAGTATGTGTTTTGGCTAAATTCCATGGTGTCGTCTAAACACCAGGTACTGTGCTAGGCACAGAGGATACAAGAATAAATTCAGCAATCCCCGTTCTCCACAGCTGGAGGAGCAACCACCACAGACCACCGTCCATGTACCAGGCGAATCACTATGTGGATGATCTCGTTTGAGCCTCACAACAGCTCTATGAGGTGAGCACTATCATTATTCCCTTTTGATAATTACTATCAAACAGGTTGCACTACTTCCTCAAGTTTACATAGCCAGAATTTAACTCTAAGCCATCTGCTCCAGAGCCCATGTCTTACTTTGAGCATGTGGCCGGGGGGTGTAGGCAGTGGAGAGTAACAGGTAAATGCAATACCTATTGTATTGCATCATGGAAAGTCCTATGATAAAAGCAGGCAACAAGTGCTATGAGAGCACCCAGACTGGACAGGTAACCCAGCCCAGGAAGGCGGAAGTTGGGCCCTTCAAGAATGAGCAGAATGGGGATGTAGACAGTGTGAGTTGGGGGAATGTGCCAGACAGAGGCAATAAATAGAACAGTATCGTTGGAGTCCTCAGGGAGTGGCAGGTAATACACGCTGGCAACCTGTAAAGTGCAAAGGGGGTAACAGGGGTACCAGACTGGCCCATGGAGGGTTTGATGTGCCCACTGTGGAGCCTCGCCTGTGCCCAGAGACAATGGGCTACTGGTGAAGGATGCCACAGAGGATCCTTCTTTTTTTTTTAATTTTTTAATTTTTATTTTTTAAATTTTTTATTGAGATAGAAATTCAAGACCTTGCCATGTTGCCCAGGCTGGTCTTGAATTCCTGGGCTCAAGCAATCCTCCTGCCTCAGTCTCCCCAGCTGCTAGAATTACAGGTGTGAGCCACCACATCCAACCCCAAACAGGGCCCTTGGACAGCTGATGCTGGAGGCCATATGAAGGAGCACTGGAGGAGCTGGACAGATCAGGGAGCCCCTGCCACATAATCACAGAAGGATTTACTGTGATGCTTCTGTGGCTGAAGTTTCAGGGACTGCCACCAGCAGAGGTCCCTTCCAGGGCTTATTTCCTTTTTTCTTTCTTTTTTTTTTTAATAAAAAATAAAGATGGGGTTTCACCATGATGGCCAGGCAAGTGTTGAACTCCTGACCTCAGGTGATCCATCCACCTCGGCCTCCCAGAGTGCTAGGATTATAGGCATGAGCCACCGTGCCCAGCCTCCAGGGCCTATTTCTAATTTCGTATCCATAATTTTATAGCCTTTCTCTTATAAGCCCCCCCAAACCTGGTTAAGCTTCAGGCCCCCAAAAATCTAGATCTGCCCCCCTGTGAATAGTAATTGTTTTCTTGTGCCAGCTTCCAATTCCCAGCACTGTAGTAAAATTCATCTTCTTTAAATTCCTCTTTTGACTTAAGTTTCTCTTCCGTTTTTTAAAAAGAAATACCTTGTTTTTCTTAATATCCTAATCTATTCTTATCTTCTTGTTTTCATTTTGCCACCTAGTTATATTTGTTACTGTCAAACTTCTGCTGCTTTTCATACCATTTCCCTCTCTCTGCTGCACCTCATAATATTTTAAAGTGTAAACAACAACAGAGTCTGGTGAAATGGAAATAGAATAATGCCATACAGACCCCATCCATCATGGAGCAGAGCCTTCTGCTGGCAAAGACTTCCTCTGCAAGGCCCCTCTGCCCCTGCTGCTCAGCTTCTGACCAGCTTCTCCTGTCTCTGGAGTTCTCCCTTCCCCCTTACCTTCTGTCTCCAAATTTTCTGTTAATTTACTTTCCTTTTCCGCTAATTTACCTTACCACTCTTTTCTCTTCGCCTCTGACAGGCCTGAGGTCACAGCCCCAGCTCTTTCCTTCAAAGCCAAGCTTTGTCTTCTCAATGTGATGTCCACTAGGCACTAAAGAATAGGGTGATTATGACAGGGTCCCCCAAAACACGGGCCCTTGAAGAGTACCGTGCAATGGGTGTTGAAGAAGGAAGCAGAAAGGGGCGATCACTATACCATACGCATATGTGAGTCACTATGCGGATCTTGCCCCCAAAATCTGCTGCTCAAGCCCTCTCTGTTGCTCATCCTCAGTGTTGGAGGACACCAGTTCTGTCACTACCTGTGTCCTTCCCACCATTCCTGGACCCATACTTTCAGAGCCTTCTGGAAGCACCCTGACTTAAATATTTAGCACCCATGCCCATGCATCCAACTATGCAACCAATTAGACATCCTCATCAGCAGATTCGTGAATATGGTCACCTAACCCATATTTCACAACATGGACTCCTTTAGGGCAGTGGCTGGTTAGTCCTTGTGGCTCTCTAGTACTGCCTTGCCTGGAACTCAGTATTTGTTATATAAATGAAAACTATCCCCAAGGAGATAACATGCCCTCCAAATGTGCCTTTCACCTTCCCGGCTCACACATGTCGCCCACTTCCTGGATGGTCGGCCCAGATCAATCTCCCTCTCCATCTCAGCCTTGCAGGATGTGCCTTCCTGCATCTACTGCTCCCTGCTCTCACCAGCTGAAAAAGCAGGGCTGAGAGTGGGAGAGACACACACAGCATTGCCCTAGTAACAAGTTCTAGGCCACTGAGTCCCCCAGCAGGGTCAAACACTCTTACATTTCTGAGTGCATTTTTCACCCTCCCAAGTCAAAGCAGCCAAATAAATGGCCACAGGCCCATACTGAGAATGTCAGATTCGTCAATAGCAATTAAGGGTCCCACTTAAAAACCGGATGGTTGGTCCACAGAACTGGCAGGATTCTTGCACGGGCTACTGAAGATCAATGTCAGCACATGTATCATGATGCCACATTGGTTATTGTTAGAAAGATGTATAAGCAGGAAGGTCTTGGTTCTCACCCATGAAAAGTCAGTGGCTAGGCTTTCAAGAGACCTCAGGGCTTGGAGTGACTTTGATGAATATATCACTGTCCAACATTAGATCCTCAGCCTTACAGTATCTGAAATGGACTTGCTTGACAAACCCAGAGATGACCAGACTTTCAGTGGTAAACTCCAGCTAACTAAACTCACAAAATTTGGTTGTTTCCACCTTTTGCTTTTGGCTATCATGAGTAATACTGGTATGCATATTCAGGTACAAGTTTTGTGTGGGCATATGCTTTTATCTCTCTTGGGTATATATCTAGGAGTAAAACTGCTGGGTCACATGGTAACTTTATGTTTAACTTCTTGAGGAGCTGCCAAACTGTTTTCCAAAGTAGTTGCACCATTTTATATTCCCACCAGCAATGTATGAGGTTCTGATTTATCCACATACTCATCAACACTTAATATTATCTAACTTTCTGATTATGGCCATACTGGGTATAAAATACTCTCAGGGTTTTGATTTTCACTTCCCTGATGTTGAACATCTTTTTGTGTGCTTATTGGCCATTTGTACATCTTCTTTGGAGAAATGTCTATTCAGATCATTTTTTGATTGGGTTGTCTTTTTATTATTGAGTTGTGATAGTTCTTTATATGCTTTAAATACAGACCACTTATCAGATATATATTCTTTTTCACATGTGTCAATGGCACTGAATAACATATTAAGGCATTGTCTCCTCCCCTTTACCTGTATATTCTTGGTTTAAAACTCAAGTGTTTTTAGACTTTAATATTTCTAGAATTGAACTAACTTTATAAATAATGTGTATTCTCCTCCATACCTGATATGGTTTGGCTGTATCCCCACCCAAGTTTCATCTTGAATTGTATCCCCACAATCCCCACGTTGTGGGAGACACCCAGTAGGAGGTAATTGAGTCATGGGGGTCGTTTCCCCCATGCTGTTCTCTTGATAATGAGTTCTCATGAGTCTGGTGCTTTTATAAGCACCTGGCATTTCCCTTGCTGGCACTTCTCCTTCCTGGCACCCTATGGAGAAGGTGCCTTTCTTCCCCTTCTCCTTCTGCCATGATTCTGAGTTTCCTGAGGCCTTCTCAGCCATACAGAACTGTGAGTCAATTAAACCTCTTTCCTTTATAAATTACCCAGTCTCGGATATTTTCCATATAGCAATGTGAGAACAAACTAATACTCAAAAGCTGGAGTTAAGTCAATGGTGTACATTATGATGGTAATGACTTGTTAAAGAGCATCCTGAGGTCACTCCCCTATAGCTTTGATATGTAAAAAGACAATGGAAGAACTGATGGAAGAATAAAAAACTAGAGGAAGCAGCCTGGGTGCAGTGGCACACACCTATAATCCCAGCATTTTGGGAGGCCAAGAAGTGTGGATCACCCAAGGTCAAGAGTTCGAGACCAGCCTGGCCAACATGGTGAAACCCCATCTCTACTAAAAATAGAAAAATTAGCTAGATGTGGTGGTGGGCACCTGTAATCCTGACTACTTGGGAGGCTGAAACAGGAGAATCGCTTGAACCTGAAAAGCAGAAGCTTCAGTGAGCCAAAATCACACCATTGCACTCCAGCCTGGGCAACAAGAATGAAACTCCATCTCAAAAAAAAAAAAAAAAAAATAGAGGAGGCAAATAGTATCTTTGGATATGGACTTGGAACTGTTAGAAATGTATTCTGCAAATATTTCTGAATACAGAAAAAAAATCTAATGCTTTTGGCAAGCACAAGGACACTCCTTACTTAGGTGGCCCACTACCAAGTGTTTACTAGAGAAATCAGTGGCCCTTACAGTCCTAATTGACCAGAAATCAAACCACAAAAAGTTAGCAAGTGACAACAGGGTATAGGCTTTTTTCAACATCTTCTTCTGTACTGGAAGAAGACGGAGGGTGCTCTCTATAAACTCAGGGACAGATCTGCCAGGCCACATTGAAGAGCCATTATTGTAATACAACATGGACTTTCATCTTGTTAAGGCTCTTCTGGAAGTAGGGAATGGAAACCCCGAATCCCAACCTGGCTCCGGTAGAAAATGATGGGATGGCCATCACCATACAGACATGCTGCTGAAACACCTGACCACCAGCCCCAATGAGGCCTCAGCAGGCCTCAGGATAGGATGACCAGTCTCCAGCCCCAATGAGGCCTCAGCAGGCCTCAGGATAGGATGACCAGTCTCATAGCCAGGGAGATAGGTCTTCCCAAGGGTCAGTAATCATAAAGTACTTATGATTAAATAATTTTCCCAAGGTCACATAGCTAGGAATTGATAGAGTCAGGACTCAAACCCAAGTATTTTGGCTTCAAAGTCCATGCTTTTCACCACTGGCCTTTTTTATACTTTATTCCAGGATTATAAACTAAATGCCTGAACTACACAACTGCCTACAAATGCACATGAAGAAGGACTGAGTTGGAATTATAAATGAATCTATATTAGTCATCATTTTAGATTCTTAAGGCTCACACCTATAATCCCTGCACTTTGGGAGGCCGAGGAGGGTGGATCACTTGGGGTCAGGAGTTTGAGACCAGCCTGGCCAACATAGTGAAACCCTGTCTTTACCAAAAATATAAAAAATTAGCCAGGTGTGGTGGCACCTGTAATCCCAACTACTTGGGAGGCTGATGCAGGAGAATTGCTTGAACCTGGGAAGTGGAGGTGGCAGTGAGCCAAGATCATGCTATTGCATTCCAGCATAGGCAACAGAGCAAGACTCCATCTCAAAAAATATATATATATACATATAGCTGAGCAGGACTGAAACCTCGATCATGTCAGGGTCACCACTTGAGATCACGTCAATAAACACTATTAATGGGTAATTCTTCAACTTCTTTTTGAGAGGACCATCCAGCACAAAGTTTATATGAGTAAACAGAATAGAGACAAAAGAATGTAAATAGACTTAACTAAGGAAGCTTTTATTATTCCTAATCTTTACCCTATGATTTAAAGTTCTAATGTAAGAACTTAAGAACTGGCTGCCTTCAACCAGTCTTATTGAAACGTTTTGGCCCTCTACAAAGTTTAAGACTGTAATTTACAACTTCCCTATATTTCCCTTAATATTTTGCCAGCCACTCTCAGTGAATCTTAACACAGGATCTTCAAGATGATGAAGCCGAGCAGTTCTCAATCCATGCATCCACAGACTCCGCTTGAGATCCCAAGACCTGGTGGTACCCAACACATTTTCAGGGACATCTGAAAGGTCAAAAGTTATTTCATAATAATACTAAGACATTATTTGTCTTTTTCACTATGATGACATTTTCACTAATGCTATGAAAACAATGGTAAACAAAATGGCTCATACCTTAGCATGAATCAAAGCAATGGCATTCAACTAAAGCAGTGGTCACCTATATACTCTTTATTATTACACAGAGCAGTTAAAAAGAAAACAGCCAGTGGCGCTGAAGAATGTCCTTGAGGAAGCAATAAAAATTATTAATTGCATTCAATCTCAACCCTTGAGTTAATATTAAGTGAGTAAAATGGGGAGAATACACAGAGCACATCAGCTACGTTCCAGGACAGAGATCCTGAGTGAAAGTACTTGTGCCACTGTTGAGTGGAAAGCTGAACCAGCCGTTTTCTTCATGCAACTTTATTTTTCTGTGAAAGAACTGATAAATAGTTGTTCTTCAGACTAGGGCATGAACCAGAGATTTTCTCCAAAATAACTAAGTGGACCTGTTCTCTCAAGGAAAACAACTGACAGTATTTGTTGCCAATGATAAAACTCAAGCTTTCAAATAAAATGTTGAAGTCTGGAAAATTTGTACTTGCCATAATGAACTTAACAGCTTCCCAATACTTAGCAACTTCCTGAATAAGGTTTGTGGTGATATTAACCAATGTGATTTTTAAATGCCGTATATTTGGTGTTGTATATTTGACATTGTATAATGGAATGTGTTCACAATTTGAATATTTGCATAGCACCATGAACCAATATTTTCCCAATGGCTCCTGCCTGTAATCCAAGCACTTTGGGAGGCCGAGGTGTGTGGATCACCTGAGGTCAGGAGTTGGAGACCAGCCTGGCCAAGATGGTGAAACCCCATTGCTACTAAAGAATATAAAAAATTAGTTGAGTGTGGTTACGGGCACCTGTAATCCCAGCTACTCAGAAGGCTGAGGCAGGAGAATCACTTGAACCCAGGAGGCGAAGATTGCAGTGAGCCAAGATCACGCCACTACTCCAGCCTGGGTGACAGAACAAGACTCTGTCTGTCAAAAAACAACAATAACAACAAAGGTTGCCAGTTTAGCATTCTCTCATTCATTAGAACCTGGAAGCCTCCCCCACCCCCATCCTCACTGAAGGGGATTGCAGCACAAATTTCCGTTTATTTGCACCAACCAGAGCTTGTAACCTGTTACCTTTGAGAGATAATCCTACAAAATGCAGTAGAATGTAGATTCCAAAACCTGCAGAGATTACATTTTATGGGAGGGGAATTATCTCTATAATCCAATTAACACAGCAAGTGACAGGGGAAAAACATAGGCTGTAGATTAGTGCTGGGGGGAGGAATTGGGACATTCTAGAAGTTAATTCATATTAACAGGTTCAAAAGCCTCTGAAGTGCATTTATAATTTCCTAAATCCTAATCATTAATCTGTATTATGAACCAGTAGCTTTTGGAAAGAATATTACAGCTACAAATCAAATGTTTTTTGTTTGGTTTTGTTTTGAGATGGAGTTTCGCTCTTGTTGCCCAGGCTGGACTGCAGTGGCACGATCTCAACTCACTGCAACCTCTGCCTCCCAGAGATTCAAGCAGTTCTCCTACTTCAGCCCCCAGAGTAGCTGGGATTACAGGCTTCCACTACTATGCCTTGCTAATTTTTTGGATTTTTATTACAGACGGAATTTTACGGTGCTGGCCAGGCTGGTCTGAAACTCCTGACCTCAGGTGATCCGCTTGCCTCACCCTCCCAAAGTGCTAGGATTACAGGCGTGAGCCACCGTGCCCAGCCAAATCAAATGTTTTAAATAATTTTCTTTATGAATGTCCTACTTTCCTTGAAAGTTGAGTACATTTCTCCCCATCAAATGATGAGTTTATAATTCACCACATTTCCCTCTTCATCTTGGCTGCCAAGAAGCTTTGAATCAGGTTAAACACACATCCAGATAACCAAATCAATATTTGGCAGGTGATTCCCAAATTCCTAGAGGTGGGAGACTATTTATGTCATATGGGATTAGCTAGCTAATCCCTTCCTTCTCAGTGGGTCATTTTGTCATCTGTTGAGCCAAAATGAAATGGCCACTATCAAATTCCCTTTACAATCTTCCCAGGTCTCCAGGCAACTTCCTGTCCAAGCTCATGGTCCTAGCTGCTGAGAATCAAGGTGTCCATCAGATGGTTACTCCGCCTTCCTTTTCAGTATCTTCCATGCTAATATGATCGATAGTTATGCAGAGGGAAATAATATTAAACTGCTTTTATCCCCTGAAGGAAATGCTTATGTGCTCAAGATTGCCTGCATTTTCTGAGTATATTCCAAAATCTCTGAAGATTTTATTCATGCAAGATAAGTGTGACCTTCAACTAAACTCAAATCTATAATTTAAAGTGGCCTCTTTGACTCAAAATCCTCTCCATTTCCATGCCAAATGGATCATCAGCTGCTCTCCAAGTAATACTTGCTCCAGAGGAAGGTTCCAGCTACTGATCGACGCACATTTTTGCATTTCTACTCACAGACTTAAGTTCTGCTCTCCAATATGTGACTGTAGCTTAATTGACGGAGGAATGCAAAAAGAGATTTGGAGGCGTCTGACTACTGTCGACTCATTGACTTCCCTCGGAGAATTCTTTCACTTGTCTTTTAAATTTTCCTTTCTTGTCAAAATTGCAGGTGCAGATAAATGCTGGAATCTTATTTCAATCAGAAAGTGCCAAGAACAAGAAAAGATGGAGAATTTTGATTGTCGTTGAGGACAGAGCCTCAAACAGCTGGAGGCCTTCCATTCTCTTTTAGCTTCCATCCATCTAAGAAAAAAAATGCACCAAGGATTTCACTCAATTTGTGCAGAAAGATGAGGAAATTCACACTGAAATGAAGAATTGCATTCCCAAAATAGCGTTAACCTAGAACAGCGCTGATGGGGGAATAAGAGACCTTGGATGTGGTGGGTCCAACCTTTGGTAAAAAGTCCAGGGGATACCCCAGAAGGGATTTCTGTGTGACAGTTAGCTGATGATACACTGGCCTTTCCTTTCAGCGAGGCTTAGAGCCAGCTTAGGGATTCTCACCTCAGCCAGATTTTCTTTCTCCAGACAAATGTGTATTTCAGACAACTTCTAAGTAAATCTGGAAATGATTATGAGAAAGGAAAAATAAAATGCAACAAAAGCCTCTGACTTAGTTGTCATTCAGAGTCACTCCTCCAGGGTGGGTCAAATCATTTGTCCCAGGGCCCACCTCAGAGCCTGCCCATAGACTTGCTGTGGTGGGTGTTTCAGGGATTTGAAAGATTCTATTTCTGGCCAGGTGCAGTGGCTCATGCCTGTAATCCCAGCACTTTGGGAGGACAAGGCAGGTGGATCACCTGAGGTTGGGAGTTCAAGACCAGCCTGACCAACATAGAGAAACCCTGTCTCTACTAAGAATACAAAATTAGCCGGGCATGGTGGTGCATGCCTGTAATCCCAGCTACTCAGGAGGCTGAGGCAGGAGAACCACTTGAACCTGGGAGGTGGAGGTTGCGGTGAGACGAGATTGCACCACTGCACTCCAGCCTGGGCAAGAGCGAAACTCTGTCTCAAAAAAAAAAAAAGATGCTGTTTCCATGCTGTCTCCCAAATACTCTGGACCCAGGTCCTCAGCATCAGGGACTATACTTGATGACTTACATATCTCCAGTCTCTGGCCCAACTGCTAGCATATAGTAGATGCTCAATAACGAACTGGCACACAGTGGCTCACACCTATAATCCCAGCACTTTGGGAGGCCGAGGCAGGAGGATGGCTTGAGCCCAGGATCTTGAGACCAGCCTGGGCAACATAGAGAGACCCCACCTCTACAAAAAAATTTTTTTTTAATTAGCCAGGCATAGGGGCATGGGCCTGTAGTTCCAGCTACCTGGGTGGCTGAGGCAGGAGGATCACTTGAACACAGGAGGTCAAGGCTGCCTCAAGCCATGATCATACCACCCCACTCCAGCCTGGGTGACAGAGTGAGACCCTGTTTCAAAAAAAAAAAAGCATTGAAATGTAGCCCTTTGGTAAACGTTTATGTATAAAAACACCAGAATTTGTCCCCGGGCTAGATGTTAATCCTTCTCAATTTCTAGTCCTAATTTCCCTTCTCCCCAGCTTTAGATATACTCTTAGAAATGTGTTGCCTAATATGGTGACCACCTACCCCGGGAGGCCACTGAGCACTGGAACTGTGGCTAGTCAGAACTGAGATTTGCTGAAATATACACAGAGCCTCAAAGAGTTGGGGGAAACATGGAATGTAAACTGTTTTCTTTTTTTTTTTTTTTTTTTTTTTTTTTTTGAGACAGGGTCTCATACTGTTGCCCAGGCTGAAGTGCAGTGGCACCATCTCACTGCAACCTCCACCTCCCAGGTTCTAGTGATTCTCCTGCCTCAGCCTCCAGAGTAGCTGAGATTATAGGTGCCCACCACCACACCTGGCTAATTTTTTGTATTTTCAGTTGAGATGGGGTTTCACTATGTTGGTCAGGCTGGTCTTGAACTCCTGACCTCGTGATCTGCCTGCCTCCCAAAGTGCTGGGATTACAGGCATGAGCTACAGCGCCTAGCCCTGTTTCATTAACAATATTAGTACTGACTACATGTTAAAATGATTTTGGATATATTAGGTTAGATAAAATATATTATAAAAATTAATTTCACCCATTTCCTTTTACTTTTTAAACTGTAGCTTTGGACCAGGCTGGTTCAAGCCTATAATCCCAGCACTTTGGGAGGCCAAGGAAGGAGGATTGATTGAGCCCAGGAGTTAGAGACCAGCCTGGGCAACAAAGCAAGATGTTGTCTCTCCAAAAAAATAGAAAATTAACAGGGCATGGTGGTGCACACTTGTGGTCTCAGCTATAAGGGAGGCTGAGGCAGGAGGATCGCTTGAGCTCAGGAGGTCAAGGCTGCAGTGAGCCATGATCATGCTACTACATTCCAGTCTAGACAACAGGGTGAGACCCTATCTCAAAAAAAAAAAAATTAGCTTCGGCCAGCGTGGTGGCTCATGCCTGTAATCCCAGCACTTTGGAAGGCCAAGAAGATTGCTTGAGGCCAGGAGTTCAAGACCAGCCTAGGCAAGGTAGCAAGACTTCTCCTACATACAAAAATAATAATAATAAACAAAATAAATAAAAATATATACACTTTAAAGTTCAAATAAACTATGTAGTTTGCCTTGTATTTCTATTGGACCGTGGTGGCTCAGACCTTACGTGACTCCCATTCAGACCCGGCAGAGTCTACTGTGACCCCTACTGACTTGACAAACCTAGTGTCAGACCTGAGGTCCACAAACCACAAACGTCTCCAGAAAGCCCAGAAGCGAGTAGCAGAAGGCCGCTCCAATCTTGCCGGGCCACACAGCACGCACGGCGGGTCCCCGTGCAGAACCTGTGCTTTGCTGCCCTCTGCTGGCCGCGTCCCGCTTTGCAAAGTCCCTGGGCGGTGCCCTCTCCTGCTGCACCCCGCAAGCAGCAGCAGCTGTGCTCATACTTTTCCTGTGCTTCCCTCTTCCCTTGTTAGCCCTGTTTTTAAAAGAGTAGATGGCAAGAAAAAGGGAGACTGCATCTTTTCAAAAGGAAAACGTGATCTGGTAGAAGCAGTTTCTTTTTTAGATCATGATCTATTTCCTTCAAAAACGTGAAGTTTATCTTGCAGTGTTCTTCACACTTCATCCATGACTTGCATCCTGTGGGGCATTTGTTAAATATACAAATTACCAGTCCTCTCTGTAGCAAATTCTGGATCAGTAGTTTACAGTTGCAAGCCCAGGAACCTGTGTGTAAGAAGCTCCACAGGTGATTCTTGTCCCCCCTCCCTGGAGGAAGTTTGAGAAATACAGCTGTGAAACTGTGCATCTTAAACGTGGAGATGCTTACGGGCTACCTGCGCCCTTTAAAACCTGATTCTGATCCGGTAGATCCTAGCTGAGGCCTAATAGCCCACACCTGTAACAGGCTTCCAGCTGCTCCTACTGCTGTTACTGCTGCTGCCGTCTAGGGTCACACTTTGAGTCAGCAGGGATGTAGTTATGCACGGTCCACGCCCTCAGGTGTAGCCTTAATAGTACACCCGTCCTATTTAAAATCGCTACGCACTCTTGCTACCCACCACTCCCACCAAGGCTGCTCTGAAGAGCAAACTCGAATTATCTCTTTTGTCTGGAAAAGCAAGGATGCCCCCTTTTGACAGCTCAAAATATTTTCTGTAAAATGCCTGGAGAGGAATGATAGATGTATTTTTCTCACAAAACAAGGGTTTTTTTCATCATTATTGGTTAGAAAGAATTCATTTGTCTAATAAACTAACCATGTAGCCTTGTGTGTTGAAACCATGTCGAGATCCTGGCCATTTACACTACAAAGATTACAGGGAGTGACTCAGTGCCACCGTTTAAGAGGGGGACCTCTGAAGATTGTCCCAAAGATGGACCACGCAGGAAGAGCTGGGGCTTGAGAAATGAGCAGTTGCCTTTGAGACCTGTCCATGGTGTCTTATCTTGAAACTCAAGTTTCTGTCTTTAATTTCCTAACCCTTTCCTGCACTGGTTTCCAGCAAACATTTTTACTGCTGTCAAATCGAACAGTCATGCTGGCTCAGGTTGTCACTGCTCCTAGCTGTGCCCTGTGATTCTCTGGAAGTTTTGGGCGAGAGGCAGTGGATGGGGAGGGACTCTTTTGTATCAGCTTTAGTTAAATTCTGCATTTGAAACTCTTTTTAAAGATGCACTTTGGATTTACCAAAGGTTATGCCTTAATTTCCCAAGACATGAGACTGCATCATAAACTGCAATTTCTAGACACTGATGAAACTGAATTCATTAAACAGAGCCCTTTTGGGGGGAAAATCTTAAATGTAAATGTAACATATGCACTAGTGGATAAAAATTATCTGACCATCCTGTTTCTGGCTTAATCTCCAAGGCTCAGAGTGTGAGTCTAACTTCTATCTGCGCGGCTTACATGACGGCAGATTGCTGCTGATGCAGTTGTTTGCTTTTGTTTTATTTGAAGGCCAATAATATAATACATCTTTACAGTTAATACCTTCCCATCCTCATCCCTAAATTTTCAAAATACTCCAATAGTTAGCTATATAGCTCCCATTAAAGTCAAATTTCCTTAGATGAGGAAGTTTCTGAATGCCTAATTACACAGGCAATGCTGGAAAAAATATTCAGACTGCATTTACATTGCCAGCTTTCTTTTCCCATTACACAACAGAAGATTTATCCTTTCATCTTGTACATGAGCATTGCTCTTGCAAGCTTGTGATTCCATGTAACATATATTAGTATATCATTCACTATTAGCACCAACCTTGACAATCTGGAAGTTATGCCTCTCTCAATGTTATATATAGTCTTTCTTCTGAGCTAGAAACAAACCAAAGCAAAAATAATCACCAAATCCCACATCCTGGCTGTCACTTACCCAGACAGAGTGACATTGCAACATCCCAGGGCCCCACAGATCTCCTGTGAGCTGTGTGGATTCCTGCCATGGGCTGCACCCACGTAACTATCAAATGTAGTTCACTGGCAGAAAGCCCATTTAAACCTTTATCCAGTGGCACGCTCAGGATTTTTTTCTGGACAGGTTCCTTCTGCCTGTGGAAATAAGTGAGTGCTCAGTGATCAGTCACTATCCAAGGATCAATCTAGTTCCTACTGAAAGTGACCCAGGAAAACGTGTAAAACATGTATTTGCACATTGAACTTTGTTAATTTTCAAAAGCTTAGACTTTGAAACAGTCATGCAGTTTGATCAGAAGCAAAGCCCAATACCTACATTCTCAAACTCCAAGGTCAGAAAGTAACTAAAGAAAAACTGCAACCTTTAATTGGGCTGCTGCCAAGGCCTCAGGTGTGTGGGTGTCACCTGGTTTTCCCAGATGTCAGCAGAGAGACAGGATTTGATAGACAGATAACTTAGCCCTCAACTCTTGGGAACAGCTACCACAATGCTTAGACCGCCTACCAATTCACATTGCTAGCAGGTTCCCAATAAACGCTGCTGACAGACTGTCGAACTGAGGCAGGTCTACTGGGGGAACAATTTGCTGAATGGTCCAGCAAACGTCATCATGTCACGCAGAGCCTCAACAACTCATCTGGGGAGTGAGCCAGCTTCCAGCCTTGCACCTCCCACGATTCTGCCATGAGAAACCAAGTCACAACAATTCAGTGTCCTGAACACTGGCATGAGAGGACTGGGGTTGGGGACTGGGGCCTGCAAGTTCTCTGCTTCTCATAACTGCTGTCACAAATGGCCCCGGCTCTCACTTCCCAGACTCCTATCATTATAAAAATGGGAGTAAGAGGTGAAACCCCAGGAGAGTCTTCCTGGAGTTCAAAGAGTAGGAAGAAACCTCCTGTGGGGTGGCACCAGTCAGCACAGTCTCCTTAGAGCCTGGGCACCTGCTCATGGCCCCATGACAAGGAGAGATGCCTGGGAACAGATTCACTAAGTCCCTGGGGTTCTTCTCAGGCCTGGGACTGTGCTCCCTAGAGTGACAGTTGTGACCCTGCCCAGAGAGCCAATTTGAGAACTGCTATGCCGCAGGAGTGACAAAGGCAAATAACATACCAATATTCTTGTGCAAATACAGTCGTCTCAACCTGAAAAGGTCTTAGGAACTCCCAGAGGTCTGTGGACCACACTTGGACAATCACTGACCTGTCTCATGATTCTGCTTTTGTCACCCTGTCTCATGTATTTGTTTGTCTACTTGGCATCCCCTCCACCTGGCTGTAAGCCCTATAAGAGCAATGACTTGGTCTTTTTCTCCCCTCTAACCACAGTTTCAGGGGTTGAAAAGAATGCCTGGAACATAATACGTACATAATAAGTGTTTTTTACATGAATGAATAAATGGCCAGGGTAAGGAAGCAAAATAGACCCTCCCAGGACAAGTGCCAGGACTTCGCCGATCACACAGGTAGAGCACGTTCCATAGCACCTGGCACGTGGTCTGCACTCAATACCTTTACTCTCCATCTTGGCTGAGAGTTTGCTTGCTGTTGGACTGAATCCTCCCAGTCCTGACAGCCTTCATTGGCCAGGTCATGGCTAGGGATCTGGGTTCTTGCAGCCCTTTCTCAAGGGAAGATCCCAGAGAAATCCTGGCTGCTCCTCAAGCACAGGTACACCCCCCAGATAGGAGCGTGGCCGAAATTCTTCCTTCCTGCAGCTGGTGTCTCTCCAAACTCAACCAATGTCCAAGTCCCCTAGTGCTGACTACAGTCGGCTTGAGTCAACCACTGCTTAATCTGAATCTCAGTGTGAAGCCAAGAAGAGAATTAGTAGAGCCAGCAGGTGAAGTCATTAAGGCTGGTCTTTTTTTTTTTTTTTTCTGAGACGGAGTTTCACTCTTGTTACCCAGGCTGGAGTGCGATGGCGTGATCTTGGCTCACCGCAACCTCCGCCTCCTGGGTTCAGGCAATTCCACTACCTCAGCCTCCTGAGTAGCTGGGATTACAGGCACCCGCCACCATGCCCAGCTAATTTTTGTATTTTTAGTAGAGACAGGGTTTCACCATGTTGACCAGGATGGTCTCGATCTCTTGACCTCGTGATCTACCCGCCTCGGCCTCCCAAAGTGCTGGGATTACAGGCGTGAGCCAGTGCGCCCGGCCAACGTCTGGTCTTATGCAAACTTTTTCAAAAGTCATTTTTCTGGGATCTTTCCTGATTGGCATGTCCTTCCCAGTCTACACACATTTTCCCTGTGGAATGTCCCTCTGCACTCCCTAGAAGATCTACAATACAGGCAGGTCACCCTTCCTCTGCCTTATCTGCTCTAGTCAATTAAAATAAAATAAAATAAAATACAGGGAGGACATGTACTCTGACCACAGAGCCCTCTTAGTCAGCAGGTGTGAGCTTCGCTCTATAAACTCAGGATGCAAAAAAATGCCACACTGATTTTCTAGGCACTCCTTTTGTGGGATATTCAGCACCAGGTGTCATTATGACACCCTTTCCCTGGCAATGGCCACATTGGGAGGAGCTGTCTCCAGGGGAATGAGGACCTCAAGGAAGCAAGCAGCTATCTTTGTGTGTGTGTGTGTGTGTGTATGTATGACAGAGTCTCGTTCTATCACCCAGGCTAGAGTACAGTGATATGATTTCAGCTCACTGCAACCTCCACCTCCTGGGTTCAAGTGATTCTCCTGCCTCAGCCTCCCTAGTAGCTAGGATTACAGGCATGTGCCACCACACCTGGCGAATTTTTGTATTTTTCGTTGAGACAGGGTTTCATCATGTTGGTCAGGCTGGTCTCGAACTCCCGACCTCAAGTGATCTGCCCGCTTCCGCCTCTGGAAGTGCTGGGATTACAGGCATGTGCCCTGCACCTGGCAGGAAGCAGGCAGCTATCTAAGGAGATGGAGACTAATGAGGAAGAGGGCTTTTAGATGGGAAAAAAGTCAGAGAAGGCTTCTTTGAGGAGATGGCATTTGAGCAGATATGTGAATGACATAAAGATCTGCAAGGAAAGCATCAGGCAAAGGAAGAACAAACAAAGATCCAAGGCAGGGCTGAGATGGACATGTCAAGGAAAAGCACGAAGGCTGGTGCGGCCAGAATGGGGTGAGAGTGAGGTTGAGAGAGAGGTAGAGGCCTATCTTTGTTAAGCCTTGTAGGCCTTGGTAAGGAGGTGGTTTCATCCAAAGTGTGATTCATGCCATTGGATGGCTATGAGTAGGAGTGACCTGGCTGACTTGCTTTTTGTAAAGAGTACTCTCAGCCAGGCACGGTGACTCACACCTGTGGTCCCAGCTACTCAGGAGGCTGAGGCAGGAGGATTGAGCCCAGGAATTTGAGGCTGCAGTGAGCTTTGATTACACCACTGAACTCCAGCCTGGGCAACAGTGCAAGACCCTGTCTCTAAAATGATAACTAACTAACTAAATAAATAAATAAATAGCACTCTCACTGCTATGTAGAAAATAGACTGCAGGTATGGGAAAGGAGAAAGAATGATGACAGAAAGACCGGAAGGCGGGCAGCCACAACAGGAGTCCACGTAAGAGAGAGGTGACTTGGACTAGGGGAGTAGCAGAGGACATGGTGAGAAGTCATTTGACCAAGATATGTTTTGGATTTCTTTTTGCTGTTTTTTTTTTTTAAGGGCCTCACTATGTTGCCCAGGCTGATCTTGAACTCCTGGGCTCAAATGATCTGCCTCCCTCAGCCTCTCAGACTGCTGGGATTACGGGCATGAGGTATCATGCCCAATCAACCAAGATGTCTTTGGAGATGAGACTGGATGACAAAGTTGGATTAATGTTGGTGTAAGGGGAATAGCATAACCAAGGATGGCCCCTGAGTGTACAACCTGAGCAAGATCTAGGTGCATCTTGGTAGTATATACTGAAATGGAGAAGACTGAGGTAGGAGATTTGAAGGATAAAAGCAAGTCCTATTTTGAAGAGGTCCAATTTGAGACACTTATTGGACTTCCAATGGGAAATCTCAGATAGATGGATAAACATATGCAAGTATAAAGCTCCAGAGTGTTGCAGAGGTTGGAGCAGAAGATATGTACAGTTGACCTGTGGTATCCATGGGGTTGGTTCTAGGACCTCCTGTGGATACCAACATCCACAGATGCTCAAGTTCCTGATACAAAATGATGTCATAGGCCAGGTGCAGTGGCTCATCACACCTGGTAATACCAGCACTTTGGGAGGCCGAAGTGGGAGGATCAATTGAGCCCAGGAGTTGGAGACCAGCCTGGGCAATATAGCAGAACTCCATCTCTACAAAAAACACAAAAATTAGCCCAGTATGGAGGCTCGCGCCTGTAGTCCCAACTACTCAGGAGGCTAAGGCAAGATGATTGCTGGAGCTGGAGAGGTCAAAGCTGCAGTGAGCCATGATTGCACCACTGTACTCAACACAGGATGAAAGTCTCAAAAACAAAACAAAAGGTGAGTATTTGCATATAGCCAATGCATATTCTCCTGTGTACTTTTTTTGAGACAGAATTTTGCTCTGTCACCTAGGCTGGAGGGTAGTTGTGCAATTTCAGCACACTGCAAACTCCACCTCCTGGGTTCAAGCTACTCCCCTGCCTCAGCCTCCCAACTAGCTGAGACTACAGGCGTGTGTCATCATGCCTGGCTACCTTTTGTATTTTTAGTAGAGACAGGGATTTGCCATGTTGGCCAGGCTGGTCTTGAACTCCTGACCACAAGTGATCCACCCGCCTCTGCCTCCCAGAGTGCTGAGATTGCAGGTGTGAGCCACTGCACCTGGCTTGTGTACTTTAAATCATATCTAGATTACTGATATGGCACCTAACACAATGCAAATGCTACGTAGTTGTTATACTTTACTGTTTAACTGTCATTCTTGCTATAATGACAAGAAAGGTCTGTACATGTTCAGTATAATTTTTTTTCTGAATACTTAGATCCACAGTTGGTTGACTCCATGTACACAGAACCCATGGATATGGAGGGCCAACAGATATTGGCAAATAGATGGCCCTTAAACCCACATGACTGCATGTCAACCAAGAGAATATAAGTAGAGAAGAGAGAAGAGGACTGAGCCCCAGGGCACACATCAGTTAGAGGTGAGAAAGAGATTCCAGAAAAGG